TGCGGGGTCATACGTAGTACTCGCGAATAAGTGAAGGCCGTAATTAAGTTTGCGGAGTTGCGCGTGGGCGAGGAACATTTTATCAAAATCTCAGTGCCCCAATTTTCGTGGTTCCCAACATAGTAACTTTCCCGACAAAAGTTTCGCGGGATCATGCGTGGCACCAGCGAGTAACTGAAGGTCGAATTTAAGTTCACGGAATCAAACGTGGGCGGGGAACATTCCAGCAAGATTTAAGTGCTCCAGCTTTCGTGGTTCCCAAGATAATTATTTCCTCCACCAACGCTTTGGCGGGGTCATACGTGGTACCTGTGGGTAATTGAAGGCCGAGTTTAAGTCTGCGAGGTCACACGTGGATGGGGAACATTCTTGCAAAATTTCAGCGTCCCGTTTTGTGGTTCCCGAGTTGAAAGTGCGGGACAAAACGCACTCGGACGCACACAAACAGACAACCCCGTGACAATATGCGTTTTGTACTGCTGTTACATAGTACAAAACGCAAAAAAAACAGTTAAGAGGAAAATGAATTCTCCAACTAAAAATGCCGGAAAGTGCAAAAATTCTTATTCCATCTACTTAACGCGTACAACAACAATGAGCAAACACACAGATGTCTGAACTTCCATTGGAACGGAACAGGAAAGAATAAAAAAGCGGGAGGAGGTAGAAGGACGGAATTCGGCAGCTAAATGGATCAACTGATGATTGATTAGGTTGTTAAAAAGAATCGTGCGGCTGCCTTGCCTGCTGGTGCATCCAGAAAACTTCCCAGAATTGTCCACACTGTAAAGATTTTCGTTTGCTATCCCCGCTCACGTGTTTCAATGGTACAGCGATTGGTCCTGGCGCTTGCTAGCTGACTCACCTACCCCTCCTTGAACATATTTCATCGTTAGCCACTTTAGCGGGACCAGTAGAGTTAATCTCGAGTGCTTACTCTCCTTCCACCGAATGAAACACGAACGGCATTTTCGCCGCCCTGCGCTTGGCCACATTTCGTCAGGTGCCTATAGAACGTAACATGCTTACTTGAAATATGATAAAAGGATGAGGATGCCCAGAGTAAAAATTTTTATGTGATAAGTGTTTACGTGCGTGGATCGCTGTGTGGCGTAGTGCTCTGAGCGTACGCGCACCGCAGAGAAGCAAAATCAAGTTTATAACTTACTGATGAAGAATCGTGCAAACAGCAAATAAACAGCACGAAATGTGGCGCTTATAATCTATCGAATCTGTGAGCTTGCCGAGCAAGAGTGGTTGTACAGAGCATGGTTGATAAGGGCCAGCAGTATGTCAGACGTGGTTGAGTCGTTGAAGAGTCCGTCGAGAAGACGGGGTGCCGTGGTCCCGGTGAAGAAGAAGACTGAAGCCATGAAGAATGGTGAGGAGGTTTATAAAGGGT